TCTCTCTCTCTCTCTCTCTCTCTCTCTCTCTCTCTCTCTCTCTCTCTCTCTCTCTCTCTCTCTCTCTCTCTCTCTCTCTCTCTCTCTCCTTGAGGATCTTGACTCTGAATGCATCCGCTACTAACCAGCTCTAACTTCTACTAGTAGCTATGCGGCTATGGCCGCCTTCCCCCTCAGCACAGCGCTGCCCAGCAGGGCTTTCGCGCATACCTCTCGCAGATAGCGCACAAGCGCTTCAGCAGCACTTCCGCACTTCTCACGAATGAGCCTCTCCCTTCAAATGTGGCTGGCCAGTCCTTACATTGACTTGCACTGGGCTTCGACTCGTCCCAGCCTCTGCTTCTTTGGCTTGACTTGGACCTGGTACCACATGCCCACGGCTTGAATGCTTCAGAACGTCATGGCCTGGTGTACCTTTCCTGACTTTTCATTGGTGTGCTGCTGCTTGGGACTATGAGTCGCAACTTTTTGTCTGTGGAAAATGACTTTTGACTGTGGGATGTGACTCTTGCCTCTGGGACTCTACTTTTGCGCGGGGAAGTGTCCTTTGCCCGTGGGATATAACTTTTCAATATGGGACGTAACTTTTGCTTATAGAATGCAACCTTTGCCTCTGGGATGTGACTGTTCACCGGGTGCCTGTTGGACTTGACTCCTAAGGTACCCGACTGTGACCTTTCTGAAACTGACCGACTTGGCCTCCCTTGGCCTGAGACCTTGACCCTGGAATTCGAATTTGGGGTCTGCACCAGGGGTCTGCACCCTGGAATGCCTTTCAGAGTCTTCAGACACTTCTCTATTGTTCTTCTTGTTGCTTGTTATAGAGGTGAGGTGAAACTGTTTCATTGTTGGATTGACTCGACTCAAGGGCCTTTGTTGTCTGCAGTAGAATTAAAGCTGCTTCAATTTTGGATCTACTCATCTGGGTGGCATAAGGGCTGTTGTGGTGAAAATTCAAAGCGCGCGCGCTCACACACACACACACACACGCGCATGCACACACGCACGGACACACACATATCAACACAGCACTTCAAGCACATGTCAACCAACACACACACACATATCGACGCACACCACACGTATGAAAGGGCACACACGTACTCGTGCACACACGCACACACATGCACCCATTTGCACACATGCACACACACACAAAGGGAGGGAGCAGGAAGGATTCACAGAAAAATACAGAGCAGAGAAGCAAATCCCCTGCGCAGGCACTCACCATTCATGTGGATATGGTGTCTGTCCGTAATATACTCGTTGTAAACCACATTTGCTGAGACACGACTGAAGCGATGGCTGCAAATGACAAAACAACAAAACAGACGTAAGTCCTTGATACTCCTGGACTACCGTCGACAAATTGCGAACTCGAAAAAGACATAAGGACCCGGGAGGAGGGAAGGAGGGAAAAGCCCAAAGAAGGAACCGTTGACAGAGATGGATCAAGAACAACCCGGTACTCTGCAAATATGCAGTTATTCTGGGACCTGGGGACCACAATCAGGACCAGTGTGGGGGACAGAACCAGGACCAGGACCAGTGTACAGAACAGAACCAGAACCGGGACCACTGTATGGAACAGAACCAGAACAAGAGCGTAGACCAGAACCAGGACCACGACCAGTGTTCGGAACAGAGCCAGAACCAGGACGAGGACCGGGGCACGGGATAGAACCAGAACCAAAGCCAGTGTATGGAACAGAACCAGTATCAGTGTACTCAGCAGAACCAGCACCAGTGCACGGAATAGAACCAGGACCAGAACCAGCGTTCAGAACAGAACCAGGACCAGTATTTGGAACAGAACCAGAACCAGGACCAGTATTTGGAACAGAAAAAGAACCAGGACCAGCGTATGAAACAGACCCAGGACCAGTGCGCAGAGCAGAACCAGAAGCGGGACCAGTGTACACAGCAGAACCAGAACCAGGACCAGTGTACGGAACAGAACCAGAACCAGGACCAGTGTATGAAACAGACCCAGGACCAGTGTATACAGCGCAGAACCAGAACCAGGACCAGTGTTCAAAGCAGAACCAGAACCAGTGTATGGAAGAGAACCACGACCAGCTGCACACTGTACGGAACAGAATCAGATCCAGGACCTACAGAACAGAACCAGCACCAGTGTACAGGACAGGGCAAGATCCAGCGTATGGAACAGAACTGGGCACAGGACCAGGGTACGAAATAGACCCAGGATATGGACCAGAGTCCCTGTTGAGGCTGTACTTGCCAGGGGCATAAAGGGACAGGCTAATAAAACATTGCGGGCATACTCAGACTAGGCCCTCGAAATCGCAAACCTGCAAAATGCGTGGCCAGAATGAGCCCTTGCTATTTTGCGATTTTGGGGGCCTAGCGTGAGTATACTCTGTTAGGACACATCAGAAACAAGCCATCGACACAGCAACATAGAGTTAAAAGAAATTGAATTTAGAAGCCCACAGAGATGAATCCAACGACGATCTGATTTTCTTTTTGCCCCAAGGAGGCCTTTGCCAGTTCTCTGCACAACATCGTTAAAAAGAAGGGTCTATACTACTCTATAGCCTATAGCCTATAGCCTCTGGTGTAGAACCGGTATGACTTTTCGACACAGTATAGAATTTGTACCATGGTCCCACGCAATGGGTCTGCTCCACATGGTACCGTGGTCCCACGCAATGGGTCTGCTCCACAAGGGGGGTGTCTGTATTTTTCATAATACCTGCTTACTACCATATTTCCCCGAATACAACACACCCTCATCATGACTATATTCATGTATCAATCTCGGAAAGATGGATGGATACATTCATTCATAATTAAGATTCGTTCCGTTTCGGGGGGAGGAGAGTGGTGGTGTAATCGGGCCGCTCTAGGAGTTACCAGAAGCTTTTGATCACCGTGAAAAACTACCGTCTTCCTAGGCTGGGCCGACGCCGGGCCAGGCACGCCCAGCCAGGCATGCCCGGGCCAGCTGGGCCGGGGGGGATCGCCCGGCAAAACCAGGCGGGTCAAAAAAGAGGGAAGGATGCCCCCCCCCAAAAAAAACTAACTTCAGGCCAGCCCAGGACCGCGCTCGGCATGAGCAGTCAGAATCCCGCCTTACCTTCCATTTCGGTGGTGGGTCACCCAGGGGTGTTTGAGGGGTATCTCTATACATACTAAAGCAAGCAAAGGGTCTGGCGACATGCTCGGTCGCGGGCCCAAGGGAAACTGCTTGGGACACAAAACCAAGGCGGGGGGGCGCGGGGTAGAGGCCGAGGGAGAGGAGAGGGCGACGAAATTGGCCGCGGCTGGCGCGCAGGACAGGCCCAGCGGGGCGAAACCCTGAGGTTCAGGACACAAAACTGAGGCGGGGGCCGTTCGGGGCAGGCCGGCGCGACGAAATTGGCGTGGCTCGCGTGAAGGGGGACGCAAGGAAGGGCTGGGCGGCGCGGGCGCAAAAACGGAAGCGGGCAGGGCGAGGCTACGCACCTAGAGAAAAGCTGGCCGCGCGCGGGAACGCGCGTAGGGAATACCGAGCCGCGCCGCGAGGTCGGAGAGTTATCGTCACTCTCTCTCTCTCTCTCTCTCTCTCTCTCTCTCACACACACACACACACACACACACACACACACACACACACACACACACACACACACAC